AATACATCGGATCGTATATTTTTTGGATACGAGGCGGATCCGGTTCCTTCACTGATTCTCGATTTGGAGCATTGTTGATAGACTTGCCCCTTCTTGTTTGTTTGATTGCGTCGACAATTGCGGATGGTGGGTTGTCGTAATACTCCAACAGAAACTCATTAATCCAAGGATAATCAAACAACTCGGAGCAAATTAACCAAAAGCCCACCAAGGGATGCTCCAAGCGTAGCCATGGATTGGACATTTCGCCGGAAAAGAAATGGTTGTCGTCCGGTTTGCCCTCAAACTCATCAATACCGAAAAAGGAAAACGGATTTTGTAAGGAAATCCGCATAGCCAAAATACGTAAAGACCAGATTTCTTCAGACGGATTCACTTCCATCGTTTCAGTATCAAATGCCGCAATTAGGTACTGTGTCAATTGACTATTATCCGAATTCATCGATGTGAAAATGCGAGAGAAACGATCTTCACAAGTTGTTGTCCCGGTATTGTCGTTAAATGGATCGTCATACCGGAGGCAGGGTTGGTTCCAAGCAGCAGGAAAACGTTCTTCCCACGCCATAAAAAGCGCGTTACCCGTATGGATACGGTCATGACGTTCCAATGCTTCGTCGACAGCATCTCCTGAATATAAATTCTTCATCCACCACTCCGACAGGTTTGGAACAATGCTGTCGTAATGTCCACTCCTGCGAGCTTCTCGTTCGGCGATTCGTTTCGCCTCAATCTCATCAGCCATGCGTTGCGCTTCATTGTCGTCGATAACACGCTTCTCATCAGTTTGGGTTGCAGAGACCATCTTGGAATTGATGGGATCCCTGTCTTTAGGCTGTTGTAGGTCAATTTCCACTCGTTTCTTGACGGACTTTTTAGCCACAGGGGTCGTTTTCATCTTAGACACGCCCGACTTTTTTGTCATCGCCGAGGATGCCTTCGCGTTGATAGATTTGCCCATGGTGCGCCGGTGTTGAATGGTTGGCTTGGTGATAAATTCGAAAGTTTTCTACGTAAATTCAGTACTAGCGCTACGCGAGGCAGACTGGTTGGTTCTGCCGGAATGCGTGTTGTTTCATTTCTGAAATAATTTTTTCTATAATTCGCACCTGCCTTAATGATAAGTTTTCTGCAGGTGGTCCTCACAATCCTGTTGTCGGTGTCAATCTCTTGTGTTGGCTCATAGCTGCTCCTTTAAGCCCAAGCCAGCTGTTCAACAATTCTTTATGGAAAGGAAGGTTCCAGTCACCCATGTTGTCAATTACGTTTTTAAGCATGTTGATCTTTTGATAAGAAATGGATTTGTTGCCCTGCTAATATTTGATGGAGCTTCAAATCCAACAAAGAAGGCAACCAACAATGATAGGAGTTCAGTCGTAACAGATGCCAAAGAATGGATCAAACGGATGTATTCCAATCCCAACAAAACCAATCTTCAAAACCTTTCTAAGCTACAACAAACTGCAGTGGAAGTGCAAAAAGATGTCTTGTATGAATGATGGATGTGGTTTTTGTCCGTCTGTACTTGTGAAAATTTCATGAAATTTCATGAAATTTCATGTGCGAAACAATTTGTCATCAGAATTTTTTAAAACAGCTTCACGTTCTGTTTTTTGGCCTGGAGACAGACAGTCGTAGCAACACAGTTATCATAATTATACGAACGCCCTTTTTCTAAATGTTACACAGTCTATAACCACTAACACTACATTTCCGGGAATTATTTTCCCAAGACCAAACGGTTTTTGCGCCGTAGTTAGTCTACACGGGCCACGAATTTTGCGTGGTTTTCTTACGGCGCGACACGTAGAAAGTGCGGACAACATAAAACTTTCTGGAACACCCGGCAAATGTTCAGACCGAGTATTTTCGGGACACTGATCGCAAAGTTTGACGTGCTCGTGCCCGGAGATATGAAATTATATTTTTAGCTTCGAAAAATCTATATTATTTCCCTTTAACTATTAAAATGACATATTATTATGTGATGATTTATCAAATAGGGACTTATGGACACAGATGACCGATTGGTCATTGTGACTTTTTCTGAGTTATAACTCAGATCACAACGGAATCCTGAGTTATAACTCACGGC